AAGAGAGAGATTATGTGACTATGATGGATCCAAGGATCCAAATAACATTTTTAGGACGTCAAGTAATTTCAAATTTAATAAATAATTTTTGTTTCAACTCTTATCATTCAAATCAAATCCGTCTGATTTATTTAACATTCCGCGTGAAAATGACTTGTTAGAGAAATAAACTTTAAAGATCAAAAAGCCTAAAAAAAGAAAGACCTTTCTATGTTTTTGGCTATATACAGCTTTTTAAAGATGGTCTTTACTTTGTAGTTTTGCGTTTCTGCAAAGTTCAATAGAATCCGTAGACTTTCAAAGTTAGGATGCAATTCAAAAAGACATTTTTTTTTTAAATAATTCAATATAAAAAAGATTTTTTGAAAGTTTACCAAACCGTTTGAGACAGACTTTATTTTTAAAAATTGTTTCTCACACGAAGCACTTTTGTGCTTCTAAAAATTCTTCCTTTAGAAGAGTTTCTTAGAGGAAAAAATTATTTGAAGCAAACAAAAAACTATTCCAAAACAGGTTTACAAGAAAAGTAACTATCAAACGAGGAAAATATCACTTTGCTTAACTTTAATAATAGCTGAATAGTGTGGATATGATTTTTTTAAAAAAATGTTACATTTAAAAAAAAAATAGACATTTCTCTTACACACACAAATGATAATTTTTAAATTTATCGATAAATCGTACAAAAAACAAGAAAAAGTTTAAAAAAATACTAGAAACAACTGAAGGAAAAACGGTATTTGAAGCATTTTTTTTTTTTTTTTTAGAAATAATGAATGCCAAAAAAATGGGAATATAATTGACTAATAATAACAGTTTTCTGGAAATAAGATAGAGAAAACAAGACTTTTTTTTTTCTCGATAGTGCAAGTTACAAATCAACATTGGTGGTGCTTAATATCCAAGAAGAAAAAAAAACTTTCCCAAACTACTGTGTTTCTAGAAAGTTATTGAAGTACATTACAGTAAAAAACGTACTTCAATAAAATGTTTATTTCTGTACAATGTTAGCAAAAAATGACTAATAAATAAATAAAATATTTAAGTTTACTCACATTGTACATAATGAAATTACTTTTTTTTTTTTTTTCATCAAACCTTTCAATTTCTGGTTGAACTTTCTTGATTAAAGTAAGTCAACAAATTCCTTTCGAGATTTTTTTTTTTTTTATCCACGACGAATGTAAATAGGAAAAAAAAAATAACTGTCGACTTTTGAAGTGAGTTAAAAACTCAAAATCATCATCAACCATTTTTAGTTTACGGATTTTACTTTTTTTAACACTGATAAATTATTAAAGATTTATTTTCTAATAGGTTAGATTCCTTAAGAATCCCATCAAAGATTTTAAGTGAAAAAAACGAAAAAGAGTTTGGTTTTTCCTGGTGTCGAGAGTTCAATCCGAACTTCAATTAAAATTGGAGCAAATTGAAAAATATCAAAACTTATTTTATTTACTTATTTTTTAGTCAACTCAAAGATTTGAAACAATCGTTTTATTTGTTGAGGTTTCGTTTGTACAAACTTCGACAACTTTCTTCTTGTGGCTTCGAAATAGTCTTGCCTTTTAGCATTTTTCTCGCATTGACTTTTTCACAGACTCTTTACTTTTCATTCAAAGCCAGCAATATGATTCGCTAATTTAAAAAATTTTTTTTTTTTTAAATCTTACAAGTTTTTTTTACAAAGTTAATCTTTCGAGATGACTCTTTATTATTACTATCTAAATGAGAATTGTTCTTCGGTTTCTTCAGAAAAACGATTTTTTTTATAAAAAGTTAAATAAATTCACTAAAAAGCTTATTGACGAATATAAGAAGATGCTTTCATTCAGGACTCGGTAGCAATCAAACTTTTTTGATTCTTTTTTAATTTTAACAGTCAAAATATTTTTTAAGCAGTTTTCTTTTTTCTTTCCTTTTTTTCCTTGCTCTTTGTAAAAATCCAATCTAATTTTTTTTTTCTGTGGTGAGCATTATTATTATTTAGTTTTGCTTTCAAATTTAAGGTTAGCAACGCAAACAACCAAAACCTGAGGGGGTGATTTTTTGGAGGTGGGGGTAATAACGTAAGAAGGAAAATGACTTAAATCGATCAATAATGGAGAGGACGTGCATTGGAGAAAAGAACAGAAAGTAATAATGTTTCTCTTCTTGTTTTTGTTGAACTAAGCAAGCACCTGCTGCTGTAGTACACTGTAATTTATAAAAAGAGAAAAATGAAAAAAAAATGGGATAAACAAATTTCATAAGAAAAAAAAAGTTGAGATATAATGTAATGAGAAACGACCGGCAGCAAAGTAACAAAAATTAATAATCCAACAGAAAGAAAAAGAAGAGTTTTTAGAAGGTGGTGAAAGTGACAAGGGATATATCGTCAACCTGGGAGAGGGGTTTATAAAAAAAGATAAGAGAGAAAACAAATTGATGCCGGCTGATCATAAATGTCACTGTAAGACAGTATCAAGTGCAATCAATGAAAAAAAAAAAGTCATTTTTTGCGGCGACTAACAAATGATTTAAAAATTTATTACTTAAAATTGCAAATGCGATTTTTTAAAAAACGAGACTGATTTAATTTATTAAAAGGAATTAATTTGCTAACTTTATGAAGAAATTAATATCAGTTTGAGTAAACTAAAAGCTAACATTCGTTTTTAAAACTAACACAACAAAAAAATGCTTCTAGACAAAAACGTGAAATAAACAAAGGGAATTTATATAAATATACTTTTCTGTTATGAAGACATAAACGAGAAAAACCGAAAGAATAAATAAATGATCAATACATTAATTAAAAAAGTCCCTAAAATATTAAGACTTTCGTTAGATTTGTGGAAGTAGAAATTTGAACTTTTTAGAGATGAATTGAAAACCTGACACATGCGACAAGAAGGAAGTCTAAACACTGACGTCACTTACACACCCCTTTTTTTTAAAAACACGCACATTTCACAACAAGCACGGTGGCCGAAAAGTGGGTGATCACTTTTATTTACAAATCGTAACAGTCGCTTTTTGTCACTGTGTTTTCTATATATGAAAGTACAATATTAATTTTTAGAATATACTACAGAAACGATACATAAAGGGACAATATCTGTTCATATTTCGAAATCAGAGTAAAGTCATTGTTGTCTGTTGTTAATAAAAACACCATGTCATTATTGTCGTTTTGTCAAAGCACAACAATTTTTACACATTCTTTGTTAGTAAATCGATCATTATTTATTTTAATATCAACAAAGGACTTACACCGACTTATAAAATTTAGTAAAAATAAATTTAAAAACGAAGACGCGATTTCCTTCTATAAAGATGAAAAAATCCGATTCAGACGCCGCGTGTGTTTGTGTACAATTTAAATTTTACTTGACCGTTAAGAAATTGTCTTATTTTGGGTATGAAGAGGGTAGCTTTCAAAATTAAAATTTGAAGCTAAATTTTCGTTTCGAATCTTTTAAACCACTAGGTAAGACTTGAGCAAGATTTTAATACCAAAGAACAAGAAAAAAAAAAAAAGAATTATTCGGAAGTTCATGATAAATTCAGTTCAAGGGACGAAAGTATAATTGACAGTGAAAAAAAATCATGAGCTCTATTTTGCATCAGGTAAATGATTTTTTTAAGGCACAAGAAGACATTCCCATTGACAAATTATAGAAAAAAAAAGAAGGAAAATAAAAGAAATGATTGATGGACAAATCGATAAATGATTGATCGATACAGCATGCAACAGAGATAGTGACAAAAAAGTGAAATGACACTCGGTAGACTTTTTTATTTTTATATCTGTCTTTTTTGAATTGAGATTTTGGAAGACTGAAAAAAAAAAAAAGAAAAATACAGAAAATAAATAAAGCCGGCTTACCTCTACTGTCATGACAAGTCCTTTCTGTGCTTTGGTAGACTTTTTCTTGCCTCCTGTGACTGCCTTGGTGGTGGACAACACCAAAAGAAGACAACATACCATGCTCCACCAAATGACAACCGAAGAACCCACAGATAAATTCATTGGTCCAGAGAAAAAAAAAAAGCTGCTGTCTTTACTTACGACTTTTACTTATGAAAGACAAGTGATGACAACAACAACAACAAGCTTCCTTGGAGAACAAAAAAAAAAAAAAAAAAAAAAAAAAAAAAAAAAAAAATAATAATAGCGGTACGAACAAAAAGAAATGTTTCCTTTTATTCTTCCTTCAGTCACTTTTTCTTTCTGACAATCTTTCTACTTTCACTTTTGATATCACTTCAAAAAATGTAAATAAAAATTTTCCTTTTTTCTTTTTCAAAAAGATGTTAATTTTGTTTGTGTTTTTTTCTCATCTGTAAAGTTGGATATTTCAGTTAACAGTTTTTTTTTCCTTTCTTAGTTATTTTTTCCTTCAATTAAATATTTTCCCCAGACTTTTTTTTTTAAATAAAAAAAAATTAAAATAAATAGATATTGGCCAATTCAAAAATATCAAGCCTAAAAAAAAAGCAATTGACGTGTTGTGTTGACGATGTGTACACGATGTGTGCGATGTACTTCTCCCCAACAAAAGTAGTGTGCGTATGTCTTTTTAGTACCTTAACGACATCATCGGCAGAAAGCAGACTTTTAGTTCACCCGAGCAATATGTAACTACTAAAGAGTAAACAGTAGTAAGTAGATAAATTACGTATGATGTATATTACAATATACCCAGGATGGTGATCTCCGTGTGTGAAGTTGGTCGTGACAGGAGAGTACTAGTAGTGAAATAGTAAAAACAATTCTCTCTCGTACGGTTCTGTCGAAGTAAGCGAGAACCACGTTTCCTTGTTTTCTGCTGTATACACACTTATACTTTAAGTGTGTGTGTGTGTGTGTAGACAAATTCGAAACTATCCGAGTATTATGTCGAAAGGGGGAGAGAGAGAGAGTGAGAGAGAGAGATTGCAATGTCAATAATACTAAACTACTGTACATCACACGGGAGAAAATACAGTTGTTTGGAGCGCTAATATCGAAACTAATGACTGAGAGACCCTCTCTATGGAAGAGGCTAGGAAAAAGGCGTGCTTTGAAAAGAGGTGTTATAGAATCGGTGCGTCTCTCTCTCTCTCTCTCTCTGAGTAGTGTTAAGTAAATCGCCCCCTTTTACAACGTTTAACGTTCGTGTTTGTAGCGAGTATGTAAGCAAGAGTGTGTGTGCGTGTCACTGAACACATGCGTAAAAGCAATGTAAGTTTTCAGTAAGTATCATCATTATGTTGTGTGTGTGTGTGCTGAAGACGAATGAAAGAAACGACGACCAATCGCTGACTGACAATGTTGGAAAGCGCGGGCTTAGAAGGAAAGTGAAAGTACCAGGATTTTACAGGTTCTCTCTGCCCGAGTTCGCCCCCGGCTCCAAGACATCACAATTACTTTCGGATTTCAATTCTTTAACTCACACACATGATCTCCCTTTGTTTTTATTTGACTAAAAAAAAAAAAAAAGATGTTAGGACCAACTACAAATTTATATGTAAAAAAAAAAAAAAAAACAAATAAAAAAATCAATTTGAAATCTTTTTTAAAATTATTTGCCGAAGAAGCTATATTTATTTTAAAAAATGTTCTCTTAAAAAAAAATTTCATCATTAAAAACAAATGAATAGTTTTTTAGTGTGTGTGTGTGATAACACTTCAACTTCATTGAAGTGTGAAGTGTTACACACACACACACACACACACACACACACACAAGCACGCGCGTGCGTGCGCTCGTGTAAACTACGTGAAGTGACTTCATGTAGTTTGTTTCAAAGAGATTTTCTTTATAAAAGAAAATTGAACTCAAACACCGTAAAAATACATTGGGGATAAAAATTGACTTATTTTTTTTTTCAAATAATTTACACTGCATTAATTTCTAAAAGTGAATTAAAAAAAATTACTTCCACAATTTTATGTAGCAATAATTGTTTTTTTAAAAAAATTTAGACATGTTTCTGATGATAAAGTCTTTAAAAGACTTTGTCTTCTAGAATAAAAGTTTTAATAGAATTATAAAACCAAATTCTAAAAGAAACAGTTGACAATATAATTTATTTAACCCTTCTTTGTAATTAATTTATAATTTGTCAATATCTCCAAGGTCCAGGAACCAAAAACTTTTTCTTTTTTTTCAGACAGGAACTTGGTTTAAACAAAAATAAAGACAAGAGAGTTATATTTTAATAAACATTTTCTCCAATAAAACAAGGAAAGTAAGTTTTACTTTTATCTTTGAAATTGATTACATCTGATTCCAAGTTATTCACATAATTACTTTCTGAATTAATCTTTTAGTTTTTAGTTATAAATTTTTTTTGCTTCATTAAAACAAAATCTTGATTAAAAAAAAAAACTAAATGTAAAATTAGTGGTCAACTTTTCATGGCAATTAATGACTTACACACAGCTTAGATGCAGCACAAAGCAAAAAGTAAAAAGTAAAAAGTAGTGCCTGTGAAGATCAAAGTCACTACTACTCAGTTTTCTAGTGAGACAAACTAACCACTACCAAAGTCAAAAGGCCCTTCATACTAATATATTTGTTGATATTTATTTTATCTGTACCACCCACTCGAATGGAATCTGGTACAAGGCTAAGTTTTAAAGTGGATGTCCCGTGCGTACATAAGACGAGAGGCCAAAATAGTCTAATCCCTTATAATTTCCTTTTTGGAGATGCCAGGCACCAGAGAGTGGCCCTAGCTCTCCCCCTCACCCTCATGGAGCAGAGAAAAGGCCCTTTGGAATTGTATACAAGTTTTAATTTTTGTTTCAACTTCCAAAAGTTGAAAACTGATGACAATGTAAAATATAAACTTAGAATTTATCTTTTGTTTAAAGTTACTAGAAATTTTAATAGCTGACTACAAATAATATAATTATTACTTTTACAAATTGCTCCATGGAAACCAGTAATATAAGAATTGCTCCATGGCAACCAGTAATATAAGAATTGCTACATGGCAACCAGTAATATAAGAATTGCTACATGGCAACCAGTAATATAAGAATTGCTCCATGGCAACCAGTAATATAAGAATTGCTACATGGCAACCAGTGATATACAAATTCTTACAGTGCAACCAGTGATAAATCATTAAGACATTTTTTCTTCTTTCAGCCAAAGCAATTGACTGAATGGAAAAAAATTAAACTTTACAATTCTTTCTCTCCACTGTTCTCTTCCTCTTTCTCTCTAAACATTCCCCCTCCGACCCTTTGCCTCTCTCTTCCTCTCCCACTATCCCTCGCTTTACTATTCTTTCTCCCCCTGTTTTCTCCATCCCCTCTCTCAATCACTCACACTCACTCAAACGTTCCTTCACTTTTACGATTCCTCCTCCCCCCCGTTTCACACTCTCACTTACACCCACTGTCCCTCACCTTAAAACCTCCCCCCACATTTCCTCTCTCACTTTCCAACTGTCCCCTCACCTTTAATATTTTTCTCACCACCAGTTTCCCTTTTTCTCCCTCCCCTACTGTTCATTTACCTTTACTATTCTCCCCAGTTGCTCTCTTCCACCATCCCCCCATGTTCACTATTCTCCAGCCCCCACTCTTTCCTACCTCACCTTCCCCACCTAAATCGTCAGAGGCTGCTCGAGTCCCACCAGATTTTTATGATCAAATTAAAAAACATTTCCATAACTGTTTTCACATTATATATATATATAAATCTATTTTTCTAGTGATGTTATAACATGCTTATGTTATAATTTTATATATATATATATATATATATTTGATTTCGTAAAGCTCAGAGCCAGTTAGAAATTAGAAGATTGTATTGTTCCCAATCTTTTTAAACGGTATTAGCCTGAGTGCCTTGAAAATCTACATTTAAACTGCTAGCCTTTAGATAGGTTGACTACATACTACCAAAAGAGAAATCTATAATTATCATAGCTATTAAACAACAACTATTTGCCAAGCTTATCTTATTTCAAGGCTACAAGACTAAGGTACCCAGTAAGGATTGACATCACCATCATACTGATAACAATTCTTATGAAACTACATTAGAAAAGCACATTTCTTAAGGAGACACGGAAAGGTAATCAGTTTAAATGCAAACCAGTTTTGTTTAAAGTATGAATTGCCTTCATATGTTTTTTTCAAATGGTCAATCTTGATTGGAAAATAAAAGTTTTCACCTATTAAAATAATCAGATTTCTGTATATTTTCTTGTATGTCTATGTTACACTAACACAGTAAAAATATCACAGAGTACAAGTTTTCTTAGCACATATAAATTCTCTAAAGAATAACGCAATTTCCAGTTCAATCAAGACACTTTTTTTTTTAAAAGTATCCCTTTAATTAAGTGTAATTTGGTGCAAAACGGAAGTGTTTATCCAAGGCCAATAACTCCAGATCTATTAAATGCTAATTAAAGAGTCATTTCCCCAAGGTTTTTTTTTTCATAAGAAAATAAGAAGAATAAGCAGGGAGGAATCCTTGACCTTTCTGCATAAGTCAACCATAGTGCAATGTGACATATAAGTAACAATTGAATAATAATTGATAATAAGAATAAAATTTAATGATAATTCACAACTGTAAATAATTGTAATTTCTCTATATAGGAAATTACTTGATATTAATTTAAAGGCCACATGAGGTAACTTTTAAATGAGGAATAATAAAATGAAAATATCAAATGTATATATTTTTAATCTTTTCTTTTTTTTATGACTTGAATAAAACTAAAGTCGACATTTGCAGAGATAGTCTGGCACAGGGATAAAATAGTAGAGCACCCAATGAGGATTCTATCCATTTCCCTGGCAGAAGAAACTTTTATAAAAGTGGATTTGTAATATCATTTTCAAAAAAATACCAATTCCTAACCCTTTCCTCATTTTTAAGTCACACTTTGTTTTGATATAATTCCAATGAAATGCTTGCATATCAACTTTATCATGTTGTAAATACATCAGAAAGTTTAAGTAAAAATAATCCAATAAAATCAAAATATATTTGAACTGTCCTTAAAGTTGAAATACAAATTTATCAGTAATCAAAAGAATAAAATTGCATACAAAATATTTAGTTTTCTGCATTAAATAACCCATAGAGGTGTTGATATGCCACTAAACAAAACCAACCAACCAAAACAAGATGCAAATTTCTTATAATTTTCAGCAACATTAACATTTGTAGTAATAGGAAAAAGAAACAAAATTAATTTTAAAATATGATGCCATATTTAATGGCATTTAAAGTAAAAAATATTTTTCCAATGTTCAAGAGAAGATTGAGAACATTAACAAAAAGTCAATCTATGATAAAAGTGGAATATTAACTTAAATAATACCACCATCTTTATTTAGATTCAATAGGAAGATTTTTTTTTAGAATTATTTTGTAGAAAAGAAAATACATTGTATCTATTATAATTAATATTTTTAAATCTTTTAGTAAACAGAGAAAAAAAATGGGTGGACAATGTCAATGAGTGAACTGGAAAATCCTTCGCAAAGCCTCAGACATTGGTATACAACCAAGACATGTGGAGGGACCCTATGGCCACACCCAGACATGGGAATGATAATAATAATAATAATGATGATGATGATTGAAACTTTGAAATTGCAAAGAAACACATCATTCCACATAAAAATTCTTCTCCTTCTCCTGTCATGATTTGAATCCACTTGAGATAATATTCATGGTGTGAACTCCAACCACTGCACTGGAATGATATCCAACTGGATGTTAAGAAACTGATAGAAGATAATTTGTTTTTGATTAAAGGTATTGAAATATTGTTTATCATTTGCTAGATATACTGTGGTAATGAACTTCATCAACCTGACTTTTATGACATTTACTTTCTAGGTAAATTGTAGTGAATGCTCTAGGAAGGACATGACTGTTAATAGAATGATTTTCTTTTCAATTATTTTGTTGGTAATAATTATTTGTGTCTGATAGGTGATCACATTTTTGAAAGCCATTTCAAATTTTTCTTTGTCTAATCACTTATGGATTAAATAATAAAATTCAACTCAATCTAGATGACATTTGGATAATTCTAATGAAAAAGTAGAAAAGAAAATGAAAATATATCTGAAGAAGTTTCAAATAAAACCATTCCCTCTTCTATCAATAACATATTCATAGAGTGTGTTTGATAAGGGGACAGTTCTGCTACAACTTGTCATAGTTCAAAAGATGGAAAATCAACATGATGTCATTTTCCAAATTTATGATTTACACAATTGTTTTTATATATGTTTTTTTATCAAGTTTAGGTTTCTTTTTGATGCTCTGTAAAGTTTTAAAAATAATATTTATAATATGAAAACAAGTAAAAAAGAAAATGAAGCAATAATAATAAAATTAGCCATGAGATTTGTAATAGATTTTTCCATATATTTTATAAAAATCTCTCATATTCGGCACTGGAAACACAGATTGGAAATATTAGCCAATATTTGAATTCCTTCATATGATGTCTTTTGAAAAACAAGTCTTTTATTTAGAACAAATATCAAATAGATGAGCATAGAATAAATGACACGTGTAGATAGAAACTTTATATCAAACAGGTGACAATGTGGCAGAGTAAGAAGTGTGTGTGATAGACACTAAAACCCTCTTGAGATTCAAACAGGGAATATTTTTCCGAATATCAAAATGACAATGATTGTTACATAGACATTACTGCAATCTGACAGAATCCAAGTATTGATAAAACTAAAACAGATATCATCATCTACTTACTTATTGATTTTCTTATCTTTCTCCATCAGTATATCTTTATTTTATCTACCTACACCTATCTATCTGAACATGGTCATTTCATCCTCCTCCTCCTCCTCTTCTCTATTTGTCTTACTTTGCTTATATATTCTCTTTCTATATATATGTATCTATATCAGTCTATTCATATCTTATTCTCTTTTTATCTATATCTATCTATATATATATATATATATATATTTAAATCCAAAGTAATAATTCATGCCTGATGAGTTCATAGAACAATGAAACTTTAAGTTGCACTTCAAATGTAGGTATATATATATTTGTTAATATATACTTCTTAGCATTGTCTAACCTCATTAAGTACTGTTTTGTTTACACCTTATACTAAATTAAGTAAATACAGGGTGTCCATAAAGTTCATGTCCACTTTAAAAAATTTATAACTTTATTTGTATTTACAATAGAAATAATTTGTAAAAAAGATTAGAAAGAAGTAAATCTATATTTTTTAAGGTTTTATTGAAATTTTATTTAAGTTTCCACATGTCCTCCATCATTAGCAATACAAAGGGTAATACGATTTTGCAGTTCACGGAAAACATTTGCCAACTGATTTACAGTAATGCCTGAAATCACATTAGTTATTTTATCTTTCAAATCTTCTAACGAACTAGGTTTGGTTGCATACACAATTCTTTTCACATGTCCCCATAAAAAAATCTAATGGAGTCAAATCTGGTGAACGTGGAGGCTAATAAAATGGTCTAACCCTTCCGATCCATCTGTTAGGAAATTCCTGATTTAGAAACTCTCTAACACGCAGAGCAAAGTGACAAGGAGCGCCATCTTGTTGAAACACTGTATTATAACATTTTTTACAGATTATTTCTATTGCAAATAAAGTTATAAATTTTTTAAAGTGCACACGAACTTTATGGACGCCCTGTATTTATTCGCTTATCTGTCTATATACACTAACACACACACACACATATATATATATATATATATATACAGTTGCGAATATCTAATTATTTCATTTATCTTAACCCTGGAGGGGGTGGAGTAATTTGTGTGAAAAACTGGTCAGAAGATATGCCTTTGAACAATTTATTTATTTATATTTTTTATATATATATATATATATATATATATGTAACAAATATAAATAAATAAATTGTTCAAAAATAACAAAAAATAAAATAAAAAAATAAAAACAGACCACTTTATATATAGAATATTGTAAAAGAAGGACCTAATTTTCTGTTAGTAATCTCTTATCCAATTCTCTCCTCTAATATTCTCCAACTGGAAGTGAGTTTAAATAAATAATACGGAGGTAAATTTTAAATTGATAATCTAATTTAAATTGAAATATATTACCCTTTAATAATCATTATTGATGATAAACTTATTTAAATTGGAATAACCTTTGATAATTAGGTATCTAAAAACAGTCACGAATTTAATTTATGAACAAAAATCAAACAAATAGATGTCAACTTAACAATCTATAAGAAAAAAGTTTAGGAAAATATAAAAAAGATTACTAAATATAAAATGGATTACTCTTTCAATGTACTTTCTATGAATTTTTTCCAATCAGCTATTTCATAGAAGATACCCAAAACTCCAACAAACCTCAAATTAAATTCTTCGTAGATTGTTTAAACATTTAGATTTATATCAAACTTTAATCCCCAAATATACCCTTTAAAGTAATGCAAAATAACAGCATCTAAGAATTTGAGTGAAACCTGTTCTCATGGACATGATTTATTATTTTATTATTTGCTGTATCTTCTCCCTTTTAAGTTGGTCCTCTCCCTCACCCCTTACCCATCTATATCTAGAGATAACATACGTTAAGTTAAGTGGCGTCTAGCCTACACAGAGTGGGGATAAGGAATTGAAAATGGTACATCTAACTCACTCATATCTTCTCTCCCACCTCACCTCCTCACTTCGTTAATTTTACATATGCTTGGTGCGGTCCGTCAAAAATGTGTAATGTTTCTTTTCATTTTTCATTTTAACTTTTGGAAGTAAAGTCTGATGATCCAAAGCCCTTTAAAAGGGTTGTGGTGAAATAACTTATTACATGGAACCTTAAAGTGGTCTGTTTTTATTCAAACATATTTGCTCTGAATTTACATTGAGCTCTCTGGATATCATCCTCCTTGGGTCTACCCATATGGATTACCTAGTTTTGCATAAACTATATATATATATATATATATATATATATATATAGGATTAATACAAATAAAATTTGTCACTTAACTGATTGATGTTATATTCAGCCCCTCAACTCCAGAGTTTTATAGACTTGTTTGTAATTGTTCAATCTGCTCTTCAGGAAGTTTCAGCAATTTGCTCATTTTGGATTTTATACACACACACACATATATATATATATATATATATATATATATATATATATATATATATATATATAAATAAGTTTTTTCTTTGAAAATAGCCAACAATGGTCAAAAGTTCTATGAATATCACACATCATTTCGGCAAGTTCCTTGACAAGTTTCCACCTGACATCAAATGACTTATTCAAAACAGGAGAAACTCCCTAAAAGGCTTAACATAGAATTCCCTCATTGTTCTATTTAAGAGAACATTATTAAATGCAAGATGGCTACCTAAATATACATTCTTTAAAATATATGTAGGGATATGATCAGATATATATAGATAACTGAAAAACTGAAAAAAGAAAGGAATGGTAGGTAGATAAACTGCTAAAATATAAAGAAATATTTATTTGTCTTAATCTAGTGAGTCAAAATAAATCAAAAATCATATTGACTGATAATGAAATGTAGCAATATTAAAATGAGAGTCAGTCCCTATTATAAGTTGCTCAACAAAATGTAACAATCTAGAAACAAATATACATTCCAAAACTTAACTAGATAGATATGAAGAAACTGAAATAGAGATAGATAATTAACAGACTGAAACAGATATATAAATATTAACAGACTTAGATAGACATGAACAGACTGGGATAGATAGATAGATAGATAGATAGATAGATAGATAGATAGATAGATATGCGCTGGCTTAGATAGATAGACAGATACAGAGACATTGATAGATAGATAGATAGATAGATAGATATGTGCTGGCTTAGATGGATAGACAGATACAGAGACATTAACAGGCCGAGATAGATAGATAGATAGATAAATATTAACAGGCTTAGATAGATGAGATCAAATAGAAAGATAGATAGGTATGAAGAGGCTGAGATAGGTAGATAGATTAATACAAACAGACTGAAATAGATTGATAAGAATAGATAGATAACAGAATAAGAAAGACAGATATAAACAGACTGAGATAGATAAATAATTGCATACTTATAACTGAATCATTTATTTTTAAACTGCCATATGCAAGTGTCTTTTTTAATTTCCCCTGTTCTTGATAAAGTGCAAGTGAAAAAGCGTTTCATCGTGAGCTACAAGTTTATCATATGTGCACTTGAAATTAGAGGACATTAAAAAATGTCATCAAATGATAGTACAAAATTTCTCTCCCCACCTCCCCAAACATATTTATATACATATATATTTATCTGACTCTATACATATATCTACACGTATATACATGTTTCTGACTTTTTGCTTAAAACCTTTCTATTTTGGTTTATACAATTAAAAGATGAAAGGTTTAAACATCATTCGTAGATATTAAATGATATTAAACGGGCAGCTCTAAATTCCTATTCAGTGCTCCATTAAGTTCCTATGCAGGACATTATTTTTTATCTGGTTGCATATTGTGATTGGAGATTATTATAAAACTTACTATCAAATTAATTGTATCTTTAAAATAGATGAAACTGGCATCCTTGACTGTTTTCCGAAGTACTAACATAAAATGTTTTTTATTATAATCTACATTGTTTGGTGATGGAAAGGTTACAGTACAGAAAGTAAAACTAAGGAAACAGGTTCAATTTCCACCTAAGGCTGTATAGATAGATAGATAAAACAGAATTAGATAGACAGGATAAGAACAAACAGAGGGATAGGTAACAACAGATAGATAGATAGATATTTACACTATTTACATTGTTTGGAGAGGAGGCACAGTGGAGTAATGGATAGCAGCTCGGATTGAGGAATCAGAATGCCAAGTTTGAATTCCATTTGAGTCCATTACATTCACTTACATGCTAATACACTTGGGAAAGGTATGAATCCTCTTCTTCTCCCCCCCCAGCTATGGGTAAATAACAGGACAGACTGGGTTCTATAGCTTTGGACGGCAACTGGTCTACTGCAGAAAGAAATGGCAACCTACTGCAAGAAAAATCTGCCTCGTCAGTCATGTATTGAAAGATACATGATCGCCTAAGCATGTATCACGCATGGCACATAACTGACAGACATTGTTTAGATTGTTGTTCTCATCTTTGTTGACATATTCACAGCGTTTCAGCCATTGTATGCTCCAGCCTTCTTCAGGTGATTGGAATTTCAAACTGAACACTTTATTTCAACTACTGGGGTTGATTGTTCTAGTTCCACATGTCATGCCTGTTCTGGATGTTTCAGTTATCTCCCTTTAACTCAACTCTCCCAAGTTTTTGTTTACCTCTGCTGTAGCCAGGTACTGAACTCACAACTCTTTGGGTCAAGTCACTGGCTTCAACCAATGCTTTAATCTACCGGGCCACATAAGTCCTTGATAGATAGATAGATAAAATGATTTTTATTGAAATCTACATTATTTAGTTTTGGAAAGGTACTGAAAATAAAACTAAAGAAGTAGGTTCAGTTTCAACCTAAGGCTGTATATGTTCACTCAGCACTTTTTGAGAAAGGCATGAATCCAATTCTTGTGCTATGATTAACTGCTAGCTATCCTAAGAAAATATCTTGTCATTGGTATGTCACAATGGTTGAAGAAGAATGGAGTGTGTGATTGAGTACTTGGGAAAACCACCTTTCCATGTTTACCTCACATGTTCAAACAGACGAAGCAGTATCTGTTGACACTATAACCAATCCTCACCTGAGAATTCAATCATATTTTGGGTTTTGTTGTTCTTTT